GGCACAGAAAGCAAAATTTGGGGGAGATGTGAAGCAAGGTTCTTTAGCACTCATTCTGAAAAGAAACAGGCTTCATATTCAGACTTGAGCATGAGACCCAAGCTTTGCAGATTAGTAAAAGTATGCACACTATTTCCCACTCTTGACAAATTATTGTGATTTAGCAAAAATGTTTAGTACTTAAAATCACACTTTGTTCAAAGGAATTTCAAAATGGACTCTAAAAATTGCTGCTTTGCATGTGCTTTGCTGTTGCATGATTTTCATATCCAGAAATGCAGCTTGTTCTCAGTATTTCCCTTTAAAATCTGCAAAGAAGTTCTTGTTACTGGCTTTTTTTTTTTTTTTTTTATTTTTTTTTTTTTTTTTTTTTTTTTTTTTTTTTTAATAGTTGAGGTCACTGGGTTTTAACTGTTGGGTTTTAGAATAATTGTACCACTAGAGAAGCAAAACTGGCCCAGCCACATCAGGTATCAGAGGTATCACAAACTGCACATAGCTAGGATATTCTTTTCAATAGAATAACCCATTGTGGTGCTGAATGTTAGTGACACTTGCTCTACTTTGTACTAGTAATCTTAATTTTTCACTGGGACATTATTTCCTTATCATGTTCTGCCTTTCCTTCCTACTACAAAAAACTGAATTACTGACAGCTCAAATTTGCAACTTCTGAGTTATATGCTAATCATCCAGTTGATGGCTTATAGTTCTGATCATTGGTTGACAGGAACAGAAAATTACATTCCAGCCAAAACTCAGGGAAGATTCTATGCTGTATCCTGAACTGATGATTTGCCACCTCTACTTCAGCCTGTGTGACCTACGTCCACAGTTCCTATGCTGAGGGTTCCAACCAGAGCAGCAAGATTGTGATCAAAATGCAATGTATCATCCATAAATAATAATATTCATAACTCATTCATAATCCCAATATATACTTTGAAACTTGCTTCAGACAACTACTGAACAGACTAATACTCATTAAAAAAAGGTATTGTGAATAGAATCAGGTTATTTTGATGCATGGCTGTGTCAGCAGCCACTTGACTGGGTGTTGATCTACTCTCTGCCAAGACAACAACTGTCAAGAATGGGAAGTTGTACTGAATGTAGTCAGTCGATTATTGCACTTATCTGTGAAACCTGTACTTTCCTAAGCAGGTAAGGAAGCTAAGAGAGACCACATGGACGAGTGGGGATATTCAGCTGCATATGCTAACGCCAGGCAGTTGATAATAACTGTCACTTAGCTGTGAACTGCCAAGCCACTTAAAACAGCTTTTATTAAACTATATGTATTGGTGGAAGGTGTATATAATAGTCAAAAAAAGGCAACTAGGCAGCATGTTAAAATTGTCCTTTGACATCTTGGTCTTTCTGTTCAGATAGGACTTCTACTGCCCAGTTATAGGTACAGAGCTGTGTGTTGGCTCACCCCCCCCCGCTTTCAGCAAATAAAAATTTATTAAGAAAACAAGTACAAGGACACCGTGTGCAATTCTCTCAAGCTTATTTTACAGATGTGTGTATGAAAAGCACTCATCTTCTGTGAGAAAGCAGGAAGGCACAGTTACCTAACTGACGTATGGAGCTGAGGAGGAGCTCAGCAGGAGAACCGGTCAGCAGCAGGTCCTGAGAAGCTCGGGGGGAGTGAGGCGGGAGCTCAGGCGGAGCTCGGCGGGAGTTGGGGCGTGGCTC